TTAGGTGTATGTTGTGAAATCAATTTTGAAATACCAAGTATTTGTCCCTTTTGAAAAATTAGGTCTTTTGAAAGGCATTGTAATTTTGGCGTGTGTGAAGATTATGTGTTATGGTGTGGAAAGTGTGAAGATTAAATGTTAAAATTTTGTCTTGCATCCTTTTATTCGGATTTCGCTGTATTTTTAGTTTTAATTATTGTGTTTTGTGGCAGTGTAGATATATTGTGACAATGTATATATTGTGGCAGTGTATTTCAGACATTGAATTTTTGGCAGTGTATATATTGTGGCAATGTATTTTGGAAGTACATATTGTGGCAGTGTGGAGAGTATATATTGTAGTGTATAATTACCATAAAAAAATAAAAGGTCACGGCTTAAAATGAATTCTGCTCTTTTTTTTGGCAGTGTTGTATGTGTTAGGGCACTACATTCAATCTCAAACATACTGTGGCAGTGAAGAGCAGAGAATTTCATACTTATTTATAATGTGGCAGTGAAGAGTATACATTGCAGTATAATTCTAATTTTGGGAGTTTATTTGAGGACAAAAACGGGAATTCATCCCAAAAACTAATAGCACTGCTATTTCGAGTATTATAAGGCTATTAAAGTGCTATTTTCGTATTTCTCCCTTTTTATTTTCCAATGTAGGATCATTGATCATTATCCGTTAGTCATTATTCAAGTAAATGTTCGTCATCACTGGACATTATTCATCCCACAAGATATTATTAAGTCCAATTTAGAAAATAAAAAAGTTTAAGTCTTACATTGAGAAATCATTTATGTTTAAGCCCTATTTACTCCAAATTTTTCTAAAAGACATCCATCTATTCCTACCCTCATTCTTCGCGCGCCCTCCATATTTCCACGCACAAAAACAATCGTAATGATACATTGATATGTACCGCTCAAGCAACTAAGGAACTCCGCAAAGATAGAATAGATTTTAGTTCTTACAATAAAATCCCCTCTCATATGTCTCGTGCATAAACTTTGCCTTTCTTTCTTCCTCTAACCCCTCCCATTGCTGCACAATAGGCAAAACAATGCCACAATACTGCTCGGTCTCGCGTCAATATTGACCAAAGAGCAGTATTGTTTGGCACACCAATCTTTTTGTGAATTAAAAGATTGCTTAATTTGGTAGACCCATAGGTTATAAGTACAAAATAATGGAAGGGATTTTGACGAACAAGATCGACTTGATGATCCCGGAGCTCCGGTGGCCGGGGTCGGACTTGGCGTCGGAGATATGGGATTTGGTAAAGGAGCCTCTAGTGGTTCCTGCGCTTAGGGTGGCGGTGTATATATGTTTGGGCATGTCAATTATGCTCTTTGTTGAGAGGCTTTACATGGGGATTGTGATAGTTTTGGTCAAGATTTTCTGTGGAAAGCCTGAGAATAGGTACAAATGGGAACCTATTCGTGAGGATTACGAGATTGGTAGTGCTGCTTTTCCTTGTGTTCTTGTTCAGATCCCTATGTTCAATGAAAAAGAGGTTTGTGCGTGTTTGTGTATTATATGTACGTATAATGCATGTTCATGCATACTTTTCTTACTTTGTTTTTTTTACCATCTTTAAATTCAAGTTAGTGAGACCCTTAAAATCAATGTAAATGGAGAAGGGTAATTATGGTAGTATCTGAATATTAGTCTACTTCTATATTGGGAGGATAATATTTTTTTTTAATGTTATTGATTCTATTACAAGGTACGTAATATCTGGTTCTTAATCGATCATTTTAGTTACGAGTACATGTTTTGGACAGGTTTATAAGATCTCCATTGGAGCTGCATGTAATTTGTCTTGGCCATCCGATCGTCTTGTGATTCAAGTTCTTGATGATTCTACCGACCCTATCATCAAGGTGAGTCCAATTCAACACCTTGAAAAAATAAATTTATCCATATGTAAAACGTAAAAGTTTTGTTTTTTTTAATAAAAAAATGCACTTCTAGCATCGATTAAACATGAATAGATTATGGTTTGGTATATGTATAGGATATGGTGGAGAAGGAATGTGAGAGGTGGGAAAGCAAAGGGATCAACATAAGATACCAAAGGAGGGTGAGCAGAGGAGGATACAAGGCCGGAGCTCTCAAGGAAGGCTTGACACACAATTATGTGAATGACTGTGAATACGTTGCCATCCTCGACGCCGATTTCAGGCCCGACCCTGATTTTCTCCTTCGTTCTATCCCTTTCTTGGTTCACAATCCCGACCTCGCTCTTGTTCAAGCTCGTTGGCGCTTTGGTAATTAAGCAACCATCCCATATTCGTACAGGTCACTTACTCATAATTACAGGGATTGTACGTGTTACTTCCTTCGTCCTTAAAAGAACTTCTCGTTTCGTACACTGTGTAAAACTACATTTTAAAATAAATTATTCTATTTATAAATCGGTATATATAGATATAAAAATGTACATATTACATGTTTCAAAAGTATATTGAATTTTTATAAAACAAGATGTAATTAACAAGAATATTATTATTTTATCAAATTATCAATGAAATAGAATAAGCATATAGGGAGTATTCATGGTGCAATTTTACAAAATTTAAGAAACAAAATTGATCAAAAGCTAAAAATATATTGTGGACACATACTTATTTTATTTTTGAACGGACAAAGAAATTGAAATTAAATTAAGGACAGAAGGGAGTATAACATTTCTTGTTCTCTGGGTCCATAGTGTAACTTAACTATCACATTAATTACATGGAATTCAAAATGTTTTTTTTATTAATGTGTATTCATATTGTTTTGTTTGTTTTGGGGAGTAAATAATTAGCAAATGCGGACGAGTGTTTGTTGACAAGAATGCAAGAGATGTCTTTGGATTACCATTTCAAAGTGGAGCAAGAAGTGGGTTCCTCCACTCATGCTTTCTTCGGCTTCAATGGTACGCCCCCATACTGTATCATAAAATGTTTGCACACATTTCTAAAAAACGAAGTAAAATATCAAGTTTTTTAAATTTATTTTATTTAAACATTGATATAGAAATAAAAAAAATTTACATATTTAAAAACTACATGAAAAGTTATTCAAATTAAGAGATATCAAGAATATTTTATTTTATCAAATAATCAATGAAAATTTATAAAGTTGGGAGATGAATATACGTTGGGAGATGAATATACAAAGTACTCCTTTCGTTTCGAAAAATAGTTTCATCCTAATTTGTTACGTATCTCACAATATAACTTTACCAAATCTAAAAATCTAAAATATTAAAAATACCCTTAAAACAATGTTTACTTGCAATAAAAAAAGAAATTGGGTGTATTTACGAAAAAATTATACTCCGTACATGGATAGAATTATTTTGTGAGATGTGAAAAAAAATTAGAGTGAAATTATTTTTTTAGAAGGGGATGGAGTATGAAACAAGCAAGCTGGCAGGCTACTGAGTATGTTTATGCTGTTGCAGGCATTCCTTCACATAGCTGGCACACTCAATTATATATATTGTTGATTCGTGCATGTTAAGTAAAAATGATGGCAAATCTAAAGACGCATATACCCTTTACCATTCAACTCATTCCTACTTAACATTCATTCTCTTGATAAAAAAAAAGTACTAAAACAATGTTAATAATAAGGTTTTTCCAAATATAGGACCATGTCTTTTAGTTTCACCAACGGATACTTTAATAATTAATAAATTACGCGTCATAATTATTAATACTCCGTATAAATTAATTGAACCAAGCAAATTATCCTTTTTTTAATAAGACTCAGTATGAAATTATCTCTTCTCACCTTAGATTTTTAAGTCTTAATCTAAGTTTCCCCTAATAATATCTTCATCTATCCCGGTTTATCAAGTGATATTGAATTTCAATCTCATAGGATAACATGGAGAGTTAATGTCACTTGAAACCTCCCTCCCAATAATATCTTCTACATTGTCTTTTTGATGTTCATATTTATGGTCGGGACCTTGTATCCAACTATTGTTAGAAATTATAAAGGATGAGCGCTGCGAAGCAGCGTTGAAGAATCAGTAAGCGGAGAACAAGAATTACGACTTGATAGTTTAACAAATTGTGAATACGCTTTCACATCAAAGTTATTTCAGGGTATACCATAATACTTTAATTGGATAAGACGTTAATACAGAACAAGCTTTTTGAATTACGTTCTCAACCATACCCAACGACTCCTTCTATAGAGTTGAAGATTTTGGTGATCAGACATGAACATTCGTGTAAAGGAAGCGTACGTTCGCACAATAGGGAGAGAACCAAATTTTTCCAAAGGATGCAAATGTCCGCGCGTTAATTTCCTTTTGGTTTTTGGGTCAATTTTGACGTTTATCCGTACGTCCAAATTTTTAGGGTTTTGGACTCCATTCACGAAAATCTGAAGTTATAAAGCAATAACATCCAAAAAAATCGAAGCTGTCTGGCCCCGACCAGGGGCTCTGCCCCTTGGACCCCACCAATGAACAAATACAACATGGAGAAAATGACTAACAATAAGGAGCTTGAATTGGTTTCAAATTTATGGTGATAAAAATCAATTGAGCTTAGGTTGTCTATGTTCGACTTTTATATTTAATTTTTCAAATATGAACTCGAGATATTTGTGGATATCCGACATTGTAATATACTAGTATTTCATGCTAGCTAGAACCATCCATTCTCATTTAAAATGGATGCACTTCTGATCGATCTGTTTATAATTTCTCTTGCATTTGTGTGTGTGTGTGTGCGCATATATATCCTTCTAAGGGACGGGTGGCATATGGAGGATAGCAGCGATCCAAGAGGCTGGTGGTTGGAAAGACCGAACTACTGTTGAAGACATGGATCTTGCCGTCCGAGCTGGTCTTAAGGCCTGGAAATTCCTTTACCTTGGAGACCTACATGTACCTATTATTTCATCGATCAAACTCCTCCCATTAGCTAGCTTGGAATTAATCACTTTTTTTCTTCATCCATTATTTACCTAGAGCATAAAATCAATCATCTAGTAAAAGAATATTTTTTAAAAGGCACAAGAAAATAAGATAATTACAAAATATATAGGATTCTATTTTCATGCATATATATAGCTTAATTTTTTAAATAGCCCTTTAATTACTTCCATTATTACAGGTTAAAAGTGAACTTCCTAGTACTTTCAAGGCATTTCGTTTCCAACAACACCGTTGGTCTTGTGGCCCTGCTAATTTGTTCAGAAAAATGTTCATGGAAATAATCAAAAACAAGGTTAGTTATAACAATACCTCAACTAAAGGTTTAAAATCATAAATATATATACTACACATTTACGACTATCTATAAGCGTGATTGCAGATTTATTTGAACAATAATAATGATGTATAATTGTTAAATTTGTTTTTAGAGAGTGAGTGTGTGGAAGAAGGTGTACGTGATATACAGCTTCTTCTTTGTACGGAAGATAATAGCACACATGGTCACGTTCTTCTTCTACTGCGTCGTTCTTCCTTTAACCATTTTGGTGCCAGAAGTGAACGTCCCAAAATGGGGAGCCATATACATTCCATGCATTATCACGGCTCTCAATTCTGTCGGTACCCCTAGGTCAATCTACTTGTTGTTTTACTGGATCTTATTCGAGAATGTCATGTCCTTCCACCGCACCAAGGCTACAATCATAGGTTTGCTTGAAGCAAAGCGGGCAAACGAATGGGTTGTCACTGAAAAATTGGGAGAAGGTATCAATAATAACAACAACAAGACAAGCATCGTCAAAGCTGCAGCTAAGAAGACAAAGCCAACATTGTTCAAAGACAGGTAATTATTAATTAAAGCATTATGACAAAAATGGTCAAGTTAAACTTTGTTTCATTATATTCATATGGAATTAATCTAACGTTACTTTTTTCATTTAATTACATTGATCGTCAGGATACTTCCACAAGAGCTAGGGTTTGCGGTATTTCTGTGCTTTTGTGGAGTGTATGACTTGATGTATGGGAAGAACCGCTACTATATATACCTCTTTCTCCAAGCACTAACTTTTACAATAGCAGGGTTTAGCTACATCGGCACTATCGTCCCTTCGTAGTTAGGTTTTCATATTTTTTGTTAGCGGAAGAAGATTTAATGAATAACTAACTATATATGGAGAGATGTAAAGATACATTATTATTATTATGGGTTAACATCAAATCAGCTTTTTTCAAAATTGTGTTTGTGTGGGTGGTATGTTGTTGAGAAACTATTATATGTGCAAGGGATATGCTTATTATATTAGAGATGATATCTCTCTCCTCAAATTAAATCTCTCTTTCTTGTACTTACATTTTGTTTATACATGCATGATAGTTATTTAATTTATTGTATTGATTTATAAATACTTTCTTTATATGTATTGTCTTTTCTTATTCATACTACTTTTACTCCCTTCACTATATATTGTGGTTTCTTAGAACTAATATTCTCACTAATTGTGAACCTAAAAGGAATGAAAGGGATACAAGTCATTGGCCTTGCGTACGTGCACTGTTAAAGAGTTTATGTGGTCTAAACAAAAGTTCAGATGTTTTTCCTTACTTTCCTATAATACTAGTGGCTTGATTGCATTTGTATCCATACCTCTTTATATGTCTTCTATTTGAAAGTTGAGATTGGCATGAAAGGGCAGTTTAGGGGTGAGATTTATATCAAAGACTTGTGGTGCAAGGCTAATTTGAGTAAAAGCTAGGTTCCTTCATGGCAAAAAGAAAAACAAAATGGATAGAAAATTTTCAATGCGTTTAAGTGTAGCAATGAATGCTCCCACCTCTTCCTATTTATAGACAGTCATGTAGGGATTCTTTCCATTTCAAGGGGGAGTTAACATTTTTCTCAGGTGGAGGGAAAAGTAGAGCAAATGGTGAATGTCTATGCATTCTGCCATTGGCTTCCGTGTATGTTTGTGGATGAAATATTGTGGGTTTGACATTCCTAATCATTCAATAAATATTCTCTTTTTCTTTTAGATTCAGTTTACCCATCAAGGATGTTTTAGGAATGGATTTTCTTGCAACATTCTTTCTGAACTTTTAAAAAACTACACAAATTTCTCCTAAACTTTAAGCATTGCACCAATGGCCCTTGAATTTTTAAAAATATTTCACCAATGATCTCTCAACACCAGATTTAGGAGTGCGTTAATCATATTCTCATTTAGTGCAAGTATGGATTCATCCACATGTGATAAGTCGATTTTGGGTTAGTACTTTTTATTCTTTTTTAGTCATTTTAAATATTTTTAGTCTTTAATTTTAAGTTGTTTAGTTTAGTTTTATTTTAATTCTCATTTTTACAGTCTTTAATTTAAATTTTCCGTATATAAATAGTAGTTTTTTGATCATTTTTTACATTTTATTATTTTTATTTTATTTGTCTCTAACCCAAGATTATCAGATATCTTATTTTTTTGGAGAAAAATGGAGCGAAAGGCCAAATTTAAGTTCAAGTTTGAAAAGAAGAGATTGAACTTGGGTCGGAACCCAAATCCATTATCAAAAAAGTACTTAGCCCAAACCATTCTTGGTCAATCAATAAAATAAAAGGGGGGGGGGGGATAATAGCCTTAGGGGGGTGTATTCAATTAGGATTATGAAAGATTTAGATAGATTGTTTAAAGTCAATGGATTCTGCAAAATCTATGAATTATTTTAAGTCTATGCAGAGTTTGATAGATTTTAATGTATTTTATCAGCAGAATTTTATAAGATTCTGTTTGATTGTTTATAATCCATAGATTATTTATACATATATAAATATGCATTATTTTATAAATTTATACATTGTTGTAACATGAACTATTGTAATTAGCTATTAAAAAACTTTGTTTATGAAATCGATAAACAGTTAAAAATAATCTAATAAAATAAAAATTACTTATTTTTTAAAAAAACTATCATTGTCGTAATATATTTATTAGAATAAAATAAGAAATAAATTTGTTTTTACATCTAAAATTGTTATTATCTCTCCGCTATTCTTCTTGTATGTCAAAACTCATCAATAATAAAATTCTAAAGACAACTCAAGAGAAGACATTATTCAAAATTTTAAAAGATAATTGAAAAATAAAATTAGTAAACACATAGTCTTCTATTTCAACTTCATTATCACCAAAACCTTCTTCATTCTCCTCATTAGCATCATGTTGTGGTCTATCGGTCCACATAGCTTCAGCAATGTCATGTCTTCAAGCGTTATCTTCTGTTCTTTGTTGTTGTTGAGTTTGAGAAAGTATTTTAGAATTTTCTTCCTCCAAGTCAAGATATGATGAAGAAAATGACTCAAGTTCTTGTTCAGGAGGAAATTCATCAGAACGACACTCTTTACGAAGAAAGTTGTGTAGTCCTGCACAAGCTAACAAGGAAACATGATTTAAAGATACAAAATATCCTCTCAATAACATTTCTCAACGATGCATGACGAAGATTGAACAACTCATTTGCATTTCCTCTTCTGTTCCTTCTTCATCTATTTCTTCTCTTCCTATCACTTCTTGTTCCATTTATCTATATGACCAAGCACATATAAAGTAAAAGTAAACACTTCTTTACACATATGCATACCAAAATAAATAATTAACATGATTATGACGACAACGAGGACGATGTGATTATGAGAACATCCCCCCGTCACCCCCACTCACCCCCCTCACCCCCCGCCTCACCCCACAGGAACATCAAAATATGGAGTTTGCTGATCTCTATCCGTTCAAAGACAACAGTAACATATAATTACTTTGAGTTTTATGGTCATGGTCGTCTTTGTGGATGTGAGAAAATGATTAGGAGCACCAGGGTGATAACGATCTGGTGTCCCATGTTCACTTACTAACATGTCATCCATGGGTGCTCCTCTTAGTCCATGCTCACTAACAAAAACAAATTCAATATATACAAAACGCAAAGAAGCATAATCACACAAAAAATGCATAATCATATACACACAAAAAATTGAAGGCTTGAATATGATGGAGGAGAGTTGGAAAAGAGAAAACCCTACCTTGAAGGCTTGAAGACGATGAAAGAGAAGACCTTGCGCCCATGGAGAATGAGATCGAGAAGATGAGTTCTTGGGGAAGAAGGAGAAGATGATTGGCCGAAGGAGAAGAAGATTGGCCGAGAAAATCGGCAGATAGAGAAGAAGATTGGCAGAGAATGGGGTTTGGTTGGACTCAAAAAAATCGGCCAGGCTTTGGTTGGATTTGCAAAAGATTTTTTTATTTATACTTCAAGTTAAAAATCCATCACAATCCATTTTTTATAACAATCCTTAAAAATCTATCAACTTTTCAATATCATTACATTTAGAAAGACTTTTTAAAATCTCAATTGAATACCTCTAAATTTTAAATTATTTTTTAAAATCTCAATTGAATACCCACTGACTTTTAAAATCCAAAAAAATCCTACAGAGTTTGGATTGAATACACCCCCTTAGATTCTTCATCGCAGAGAGGAATGAGCGACCATTCCAGCAAATCAACGATCGACCATTAATTTCGTCATTCAAGTCTCCAATGGGTAGAAATTCAACGGTAAAAAGCTCTTTCTTACGATAAATTGAGAGTGGAATCATCATGGAAAGGGGGGGAATCCGACGAGAATAAAGCAGCGGCTAAGCCGCTGCTATGGTGGCCGGCGTTCGACGACCAACAGCGGCGGCAGTAGCTCCGGCGGTGGTGGCGTTCGGTGGAAGTAGCTCCGGCCAGTGATGGTTCCTTCAAGCTCCAATTTCTTCATCTTCTTTAACAATTGGTAACCCTATATTTGTCAATTTATTTTTCTTCTCCAATTTCTTTGTAAAAGTGTTGTTTCCATTCAAATTTACATTTTTTTCCTTGTTTGTATTAATTTCGAAAAATTCCAAAACAACATGGATGGTGTTTTTTTGGGTTTATGTTTTTTTAACTATATTAAATCCCTTATGGCTGGGAATTGATTCATATTAGTTTTCTTTAATTCTTGTGCAAATTGTTGTTGAATTGGTTGAATCACACGGTTTGATTTCATAAGTAGGTTGGTATGTCGAATTTGGTTTTCATTGAAGCTATTTTAGCTCCATATTGTAGTTAAATGATTTCCGAAATCATACGTGATTCTTTGTTGTGCTATGTGGTTTGTAAAATTTTAAGGATTATGGACTTCTTAGCCCCATAATTTGGACGTTTTCCTTGAGATTCGTTACTGAGTGATTGTTATGTCGTTCGTTTGTTTATGTTATTTTCATAAAATTTAAGATTGTTTAAGCACAAAAATAATTTTTAAATTTTTTTGAAAATATGTAATGTTCTCTTATGTGAATAGATTACAATTCTTATGCTTAAGTTGTTCAAGGAGACCTGCAAAATATTTTCATCATTAGACGTTAAAGTTTATTAAAGTGTATAAAATGTTCTTCGTGGATAAATTATGCATGGGAGTTAGAATGAAAGAAAGATTCGCTCTTTTATAAATTTTTTCATCTTTTGGAATCATTATTTGAGCGCTTGAGGCGAGTTGGGGTTCAAAGTGATCCAAAAGGCCTTTGAATTACATGACTCCAGGCCTCATAGAGAATTGATGATCCTCGATATGTGGTCAAGGATATGATTCAATTCAAGTCTTTGAATTATTCTCTATTTTTAAGTGCGTAAGTTACGTAATATATTGTCTACGTGCCTATTATACGTGTAATGTTTGATTTGTGTTCGTTCTCTTTTTAATTTTGTTTTGGGTTCTTGACGGTGTTTCTTGGGTTACCTTAGTTGGCGAAGTTGATTATCTTCTGAGTTTGTTTTTCCTCATTTTATCAAAAAACCAAAAAAATTAGAAAAATAAAAAACCAAAAAATATTTACTTTTCATCCAACAACCCCCCCTTGTGTTTTAAGTTATAATATAAGTTTTTTACTAAATTATATTATAAGTGTTTGTTTATAAGTTATATTAATAAGTTTTTATATTTATTTAGTTATAAGTTTTATTATAAGTTTTATGCATATTATCATATGTGTAGTAGTTAGTTAGCTTTGTTTCGTGACAATGTATGTGCATTCTAAATTGGTTTTTTCAAAAAAAATACAAACTTTCTCCGTGGGATCGACCCTTACTTGCTCTAACTATAGTTTTTA